TGTGGTGTGAGGTACAGATCTTGTTTCATTTTTCTGCAAATGGATCTCCAGTTTTGCCAGCACCATTTATTAAACAAACATTCTCTTACCCATTTAATGGATTTGGGGCTGGGGAAATTTTTTTTAATTAAATATAGATAAGAAATAAGTTACTTATCTAAAGTTTGGTGATAGAGTTTTTTTTATTTTTTTTTTTAAAAGATACAAGCTTACTTAAAATTTATCTGTGCCAATGAGATGTTTTTTTTCTTTTTTGGCTCATGGATATGAAGTTTAAAATTTTTTCATTTAAATTTTTTTTTTTTTTTTTAGGGTTTGTTGTCATTCCTCAGTGCCCCACTTATTGGTGCTCTTTCTGATGTTTGGGGCCGAAAATCTTTCTTGCTGCTAACAGTATTTTTCACATGTGCCCCAATTCCATTAATGAAGATCAGTCCATGGTATGTACATATGTAGCTTACAGTAATTAAATATCACTTTATGAAATTGCTTTTTTTTTAATGTTCTCTTATTTCTTTTACTTCTCTTGCCTTCTTCCCTATATAGTTTTAGTCTTGTAGTACCTTTATTCTTTGATATAGATAAGAGATAATAAATATATAGTAGCTAAGTAATAGTTCATAAAATGTTTTTAGAATGGTTGATATTATGGGAAGCAGCTAGAAAACTGGCTAGCTTGCTTTTGGATTTCACAGTCTAAATTTCAAAGTAATATTTTGGGCACTGGAGATGGGCTTGTTAACATTTCTGTTATCCTAAGTGAGACTTAAAAATATTCACAAAGTTGATTGTCATTATCTGTATTAATTAGAGTAGGTTTCACTTATATATAAGCAAGTGCAAAATAATACTTGCTTCAAATCATAGACATTTATTTCTCTCTCTCCATGTAAAATAAGTCTTGAGATTTGGGTGGTTCGTAGCAGGTATGCCATTTCCAGGAATATAGACTTTCTGTCTTGCTGCATTGCCATCCTTAGCTATCACCTCACTGTCCAAGGTGGCCACAAGTCACACTGCAGAAGTTCAGAAAAGGGAACGACTAAGAAGAGAGTGTACTACTTTCCTTTAAGGAAACTTTCCAGAATTCCCACCCATCCTATGTATGCATCTCTTTGGTCATATATCAGGCATGTGTTCCTCTTAGTTACAAGAGGCTGGGCTCATGAGCACCCTGATTAAAGCTGGGATTCTTAAATAAATAAATAAATCTGGATTCTTTGAAAAGAAAAGGGAATGCTTACGAAGAACATGATTTTCCCAAAGTAGTGGAGCCCAATTTAGTTGTAAATCTATTAGCTTTCTGGCTAATGTTCTCGGTACTCTATTGAGTATTAATGTAAGTTAATTCTTTGTCTTTGATGGGCTGTATTTCCACAGTGTAGCTAGAAAGGCTAAGGTTTTATGTGGGGCAGGATCTCCCTCTCACAGATTAGGTATAATTCTGTTGGCTAAGCCCTTGATGAACGATAATAACACATATGAAACCTTACCAAAGGAAGGAAATGATTGTGTATTAGAAAAGTATTGATAAGCAGTGACAGCTAACCAGAAGGCTGGTGGTTCAAACCCACCAGTCACTCCTCGGAAGGAAGGCTGGGCAGTCTACTTCTTAGTGATACTGCCTTAGAAACTCAAGGAGCGGTCGCTATGAGTCGGATCTGACTTGATGACTGTGAGTTTGGTTTTTTTGGTAAAGTATCGATTGAATTCTATTTTGAAAATGTATTTTGAATACATATAATTTTAAAAACCAAACATCAGTATTATAATAGCCACTTCTTATTCTCATCCACATATTTTGGAATCATATACAGTAAAACATAATTTGCTTTTAAAAATAGCTTTGTTGACTCTGAGTAGCTATCTAGTCTCAGTTTATTTATTAACATTACCATAACAGGTTTCTTCTATGTAAACACCGAATGTTATTGTTTTGCCAGCATTTAAAGAGCTAATAGTAACCTGTGGAGAAACAACTAGTTTCTATATGTAGGCTCAAGATAAATATGGAGTAACTTTTTTCTCAATTTCATTCACTGAATTTTCTTTTGTGTAGTACTGTGGTGGGAAATATTTCGGTAATAGGTAAATTTTAATAGATTTAGTTCATTACTATTTTGGTAGAAACAGCAACAAAGCCACTTAACATTTAACATTTGAGTAAAAGAGTGACATGAATCTAATTTAAAGTATTCCTATATAGTGGCTGGGTTGCTGTTGAATCCTTTTGTTTTCATAATATCTGTGATTTGGAATTTATAGAAGAGTTAATTCATGAATTGTCCTATTAAGCTTTTCATTGAGATCAGCTATTCTTATTTTAATTCACTTATGGAAGTGAAGGAAGGTTAAGATAATTGCAATTGTTCTAACAATTTCCTATCGATTTTCTTTTATTTCTAGGTGGTACTTTGCTGTTATCTCTGTTTCTGGGGTTTTTGCAGTGACTTTCTCCGTGGTATTTGCATATGTCGCAGATATAACTCAAGAACATGAAAGAAGTATGGCTTATGGACTGGTATGTTTATTCTATACCTTTTGTATCTGCTGAAAAATACTTTATTTGTTAGGTATTCCATATTACAGATGGTGCAAGCCTTTGCATTACAAGATTTAATTTTTGCACAAGATACATTTTGTAATAAAATCATCCATCAGTTCACATTTAAAATATTTTTAAGCACAAACCTTCATAAGTTTTGATGCCTTGCATTCTGGAAGTATTTATTAAATAGAAAGTTTGAAATAAATCAAGATTATGAAAGGAGTTATTGGATGTTGAAGTAAAAGAATCAGTCTCTTCTGTCTACCTTTAATTTGATGCAGGTTTCAGCAACATTTGCTGCAAGTTTAGTAACCAGCCCTGCAATTGGCGCTTACCTGGGACGAGTATACGGAGACAGCTTAGTGGTGGTCCTAGCTACAGCAATAGCTTTACTGGATATTTGTTTCATCCTTGTTGCTGTGCCAGAGTCTTTGCCTGAGAAGATGCGTCCAGCGTCATGGGGAGCACCCATTTCCTGGGAACAGGCTGACCCTTTTGCAGTATGTTTATATTTTTTCCTTCTCTTTGGCAAAAAGTTGAATGCATGATTCCATACAGCATTAATATTTTGTTGTAGAAGTTTCCTTGAAGAAAACATTGTGAGGAATCTTGTATTACTCTGTTTAATTTTATAAAACATTTTGGGGAGGATAAAATAAACTATAAAGACAACTAGATAATCTGTATGTACACTGCCAAAAGAAATCTCTCCATATTCTTAAGAATAGTTCAGTGTTCCCCCTCCACTCAGTTTTTAAAAATTTTGTTGTTGTCATTGAGAATATACACAGCAAAACATATAATAATTCAGTAATTTCTACGTATATAGTTTAGTGACATTGCTTACATTCTTCAAATTGTACAACTGTTCTCACCCTCCTTTTCTGACTTGTTCTTCCCTCATTAACAAACTCAGTGCCCCCCAAGATTCTTATCTAATCTTTCGAGTTGCTATGTCTGTTTGATCCCATGTAGATAATTCTTAAAAGATTATAATACTCAAGGCAGGCCTGTTTTACTGTTAAGCTAAACATTTGTTCAGTTTTAAGATGACTTCAGGGGATATTTTTTGTTTATGATTTAAAGATTATCTTGGCAGTAGTTTCAAGAGTTTGTCCACCCTCCATGGCTCCAGAAAGTTTTGGATTCTCTGAGAATTTGGAAATCTGTTCTGCATATTCTCTTATAGAATCTTTGATCACAATTTTTAGTAATATGGCCAGGCACCATCCTGTTCTTCTGTTCTCATTACAAAGGGAACCATTGTTCATGGAGACAGTTGACCACACGTTCCATTTTCCCTTCCTACTCCAACACTCCTTTTTTTCTTGTTGCTCTAGGTGAATAGAGACCATTTGTTTTGGTTGGGTGGCAACTTACAACCTTTTAAGATCCCAGGCACTACAGCAAAGAACTAGGAGATAGAACAGAAGCGCTAAACACATTATTAGGCCAATTAACTGGTGTGTCCCAGGAAACCATGACCCTAAATCTCCAAACCAAGGAACCAAATCCCGTGAGATGTTTAGTTGGACATAAGCAGGCCTCAGCAGTATTCTTTTTATTCTTGGTTATTGTTATTTTCATATATATATACCACACAACTTTTGCCAATTAACATTTTTTAGGTTTAGAATATATTGATAGTAATTACAGTAATTGGCTGTGCGACCCTACCTTAATCGTTGCAATTTTCCATCACTTTTAACCCCCCTCCTTTCCCTCTCCCTCTTGCCCCTGGTAACCATTAATAAACTTTGTCTCTATACATTTGCTTTTTGTCTTTTAATGTAAGTGAAGTTATATAATATTTGTTCTTTTATGATTGATCTATTTCATTCAGCATAATGTCTTTAAGCACCATCCAAACTGTAGCATGTATCAAGACTTAATACTCTTACTGGCTGAATAGTATTACGTTACGTTGTATGCACATCTACCACATTTGTTTATCCATTCATCTGTTGATGGTAGAATACTTCAGTGTTTTTGATATAAAACTTTATATCAGTCTTTTTCTTGTTCTAGTCTTTAAAAAAAGTGGGCCAAGATTCTATAGTGCTGCTAATCTGCATCACGGTGTTTCTCTCCTACCTACCAGAAGCAGGCCAATATTCCAGCTTTTTTTTGTACCTCAGACAGGTAAAACCCTATTCTACTAATGTGAATTTTTTTTCTTTATTGTTTAATCTATAATTAAAAAAAATACTTAATCTTGAGGGAGATATAATCAACACAAACCTTTGAAAATAACTATCATTTTATAAATAACAGTTCACCAAAAACAACCTTTTGTTTTATGCAGCCGATGTTTGTTATTTTTTATGGGGATGTTTTATATACTAATTCATTCATTTCTTGGGGAGGTATTTTGCATATTAAGACTTTTGGCTTAGACAAAAAGATAAGTTTTCTCCTGGGAAAGTATATGGTTTGATTTTTTTTGTTGTTTATACAGGTAATGGGATGTCTTATTCCACTCACCAGCTCTTAACAGTCTCTCTGTGATTGAGAGCATACAGTAGTAGAGCAGCTAGCCAAAATGAAGGCAAAAAACCCTTTATTTCTCCATGACTCTAATCTTATTAGACAGAAAGTGAGCTTTTAACCATATATATATGAAGCATATAATGGTTCCCTATGTATTTGTAAAATGGGTTCTGAATGCTTGGTAGTGCTCTCCAACTATTCGATTTAGTGAATACACACTAGGAGCTGTGTCTGAATGTGTTGTTTATAATGTGTTAATACTTGTTATTTTTTTCATTCTCTTCTGAAGATATTCTTTGGTTATAAAATTGGATTTCTTTTTTCTGAGCCATTTAATATTAATGTAGAAGTAGTTGTGGTTCTATGGTACTTTTTATCCTTTATTTATTGACTTACTAACTTTTTATGGAAACCTTCTAGATAATGAAGTTTTCACCTGAAAGTGTTGCAGCATTTATAGCAGTCCTTGGCATTCTTTCCATTATTGCACAGGTGAGTGTCTTTTTAGTCACAGAAAGTGATGTTATATAGTGAGTGACCCTGGCTGGCTATCCAAATGGGATCTCATAAAATGATAGTACTTGGTGACGTCACCAAAATAGAGAGTCTCAGGTTTGTAGATTCAGAAACTCAATTTGTTAATGTATCCAAAATGGATCAGATTTTTGTGATAGACACATTGATCATTTCAATATATGATCTATAAATCAGAAAGAAAATTTATTTATATTTGAGTATGATGTTGTTATATGCTGTTGTGCCAATTCTGACTCATAACGACCCATAGTAGAGTCACACTACTCCATAGGGTTTCCTAGGTTGTAATCGTTATGGGAGCACAACAACCAGATCTTTTCTCCTGCAGAGCCACTGGTGAGTTTAGCCATTAGTTGTTGTACCACCAGTGCTACTTATACTAGGTTATATACCTGCCTAAAATCAGGAATTTTAGTCTTTTGGTCTTTGCTCTACTATTGATTAATTCATTCAACAAATATTTATTGACTACCTACCATGTGTTAGGCACTGGGGATATAGCAGTGAACTTCTGTTAGAGAGTTTAGTTTACATTTTAGTGGAGTGGGTTTATATTCTAGAAGATTAATAAGTATGTTGTTATAAACACATCAGGTATAATGAGAGCTATAGAGAAAAGAGTAAAGCATATGGAGAGCAATTGGGGCAGGGTATTTTTTTTTTTTTTAATCTGAGGGAGTTGAGAAGGCATGCTGATACAAGGTGACATTTGAGTAGAGACACAAAGGAAATGAGGAAGAAACCATCAAGATATATGGAGGAAGAGAATTCCAGGCAGAGGGAACAGAAATAAAGCCCTAACAGGAGACTGTGCTTGACATGTATAAGAAACAGCAAGTGTATATGGCATGAACAAGGGAGAGAGTATTGCCAGACCATGTGGGGACTTGTAAGTTGTCACAAGACTTGAGTAAGGTAGGAAGCCATTGGAGGGTTTTGAGCAGAAGAATGTCATGTATCTTGGAAGCCTACTTGGTAAACATTTGTTGCTTGATAATTAAGATACTAATCAACACAGAAATCTGGATTTTTTTAGGAGATATTTCATTCTGGTCTCTAAACTGTCTCTGTTCCACAATAAAGCAGTATTGTTCTTCAGTGACCCAAATTTTCCCACTCAGAGATTTAGGGTCTGTCTTCCTTTTGTGAAAAAGCCCTGCTTATTTCCTGCTATTTGGCTTTGCTTTTGTAGAATCTAAACAGATGATCATGTTTCAGTTAACTTTTTTCCACCATACATACAATTTACTAGATTATAAGTTTGTTTTATTGTACTCTTAAGAAAATGGAGGGTGGGGAGGAAGTGGAAGGGGGGAAGCTTTTGCATTGTGGGAAATTGCAGTCAGTTGTGAGACAAAGTGTAGGTGAGCTGCTGTTTGGAAAATGAACTTGCTCTGTAAACTTTCACCCAAGTCCCAATAAGAATTAGAAAAGAAAATGGAGGGTATGGTGTATGTAATTGGATTCTGATATTTTACCATCTCTTGAATAGGATTCTTTCTGCAGATCTTATCATTTATGGATTTTCACTATATTCAGTTTTAAATTTAAATGCTATACTACACCTCCCTTAAGCCCTTACATACACATACAAATGGCATTGGCTACTACTTTTATTTCTAACTTCAGTTATCCTAAAAAGTCTTGATCTACAAAAACAATATGTTAAAATATTTGTTCCTGTCCATCATACCTTTAATTTCCAGAGGTCTACAGAATGGATAATCTTAAAAAGTGCTTTTCAGCTTTAAAGGAAAATACAATGTCACCATAGATAAAAATGTTTTCTAATGTTTCTTAAAAAAAACACACTATTGAAACATAACACAAAGGAAAATGTACAAATAGTAAAGGTAGGGTGTGATATATTATCACATGTTAAACTGACTGATCTGGTTACCTAGTACCACTCTGACAAGAATATACCATCAATGGGATGGCTTAAACAAACAGGAGTCTGTTCTTACAATTTGGAGGCTTTAAGTCCAAGTTCAAAGTGCCAAGCTCTAGTGGCTGGGTAAAAGCCCCTCAGCTTGGGCTTCAGCTCTGCCTCCAGCTCCCAGCCCACTCAGGCTAGAGGCTTTTCTTCACTCAGACAAGTGCTAGCTGCCGAGGCTGCCAAGCCCAAGGTTGACAAGTAAAAAGGCACAGTCCCGATGTTACCAAACCACACTGCAGGCCATTAATTTAAGTCCATTGTAAGTCCCCAGGTCGACAGAGTATGGCAAGTTGCTGAACAACGACATGGCTACATGCAGGGTCCAAGTGTGCCATAAGCTCGAGACCATTCCCCTAGGTTTCTGCTTATATACAGGAAGCAGACCACATTCCCTAAGGCAGCTACTTAGCTGCTCAAGTAGATTCCAGCATGGAGTTGATTACCAATTTCATTATGGGGAATACTGCATCCAGCTGCCCAGCTACTCATCCTGGCCCAGCCAAGTTGACACACAAACTTCACTACCATGCTGACCTTGTTACTCTGAAATGAAACGAACCTGGTCATGGTGCATAATCTTCATATAGTGCCAAGATTTGGTTCGCTAATACTTTGTTTAAGGATTTTTATACCACACATATAGATGAGAAGAACAGGCTCATATTTCTATAGTGATTAAAAGGGGTAAGCATCTTAAGCTCTATTTCATACTTAAGTGCCCACAGCTCCCATGTTCAGTTAATAAATTTGAGCAGTGTCTTAGTTTCTATAACATTCTTCTCAATGTTCCTTGGAGATCTCTATGTAACATCTGTCTTTCCCTCATTCTTGCTTTTCTCTGTGTCTAATCAGCTCTTTTTATATCTTGAAAGTAATTGGTTTACTCTACACTGATATGTCCTCATTGACAACAAAGAAAACCCCTATTCCCAAATGGTATTACATCCATAGATATAGGGATTAAGATTTACAACATATATTTTTGGTGGACTTGGTCCTTAACAGGCAATAATACTGGGTGATGAGCTGAAGGTGCTATAGAAGAGTATTTTTCTCTGTTCAGCAAACAACCCTTGACATAAGAAATACAGAGATGAAAAACAGTCTCTGAGAGCTCAGAATCTGGTACAGCAGAGATGTAAATAAAGGACGAGGGAGAGACATGGTTGGATTTGTGTTGGAAAGACCACTACAGCAGCACGAAGTCAGCGAGACTGGAAAGGAATGAGCAATGATCTAGAGAGCATTTAATGGTATAGCATATATGCAGGTGCATAGTCTGCAAGGAACGAGATACTGAAATCATCAGTTAGTTTTTGGTGCCTACACAGAAACAAGTTTTGAGATGAAAATTATACATACAAAAAGGTGAGACAATTAAATGGCCTTCAAAAACAGATAAGTAGGAGTATGTATTATGTATGTAAATACTGATAATTACTTTTTTATGGGTGCTCTGGTGGCATAGTGCCTAAGGCATTTAAATGACTGCTACCCAGGAGGCTGGCAGTTCAAACCCACCAGCCACTCCTCAGAAAGAAGATTGGGCAATCTACTTCCATAGAGATAACCACCTCAGAAACCCAAGGAGGGGGTCGCTGTGAGTCGAATTGACTTGACGTCAGTGAGTTTGGTTTGGTTTTGGTTTTACATTTTTATGTCACTGTATGAGCTGCTAAAATAATAAGCATGAAAGAGTCTCACTTGTACAGAAGCATACAGTTGAGAATGACTTGCCACATTAACCTCTCCAACCAATGAAAGATCATTGTTTTTCATGTTTTTGTCTAGCAGCATGAAGCTGGTTGTAGCTCCTCAGTTTTGCAGCTTATGTTTGTTTATTTCATCATCTTTGTTTTTGTTGACCTTTCTGTCTCCCTTTCCTCTGCTCTAAGTATCCCTTCTAAGGGTTTCCTTAATAATTTGGGCATATAGCTGTTGTCCAAAATGCAATGGACAGATTTTGTCTCTTTATTTCTGATTATTTCTACCTTAGTAGGTTGTGAGCACTTAAATTCTTAAGGTAAGGATTATATTATATTTGTATCTGCTATTACTATGCCCACAACCCAGCAAGCACTAAATTAGAGATCATTGGTTTTTTTATATGGTATTTCTAAAATTTTTAAATAAGCAATAAGCATTTATAAATTGGAAGTATTATTAAAAACAAAGATGTCTAACTTCTCCTAGAAAATCATTAGATCTAGTAACACTGGGTGGACCCACCTTCCAACAGGAACCAAGTACTTGTTGACTCCTGTGGGCATATGCTTTCTAGTGTGCCATGGGTTCCATCTCTTCCTGTTGCCTTAAACCCAAACCAAACTGGACCAAACTGACCAGTCCAATCATTCCAATTCATAACGGCCCTAAAGAATGGAGAAGAACTGTCCCATAGAGTTTCCAAGGCTGTAAATCTTTATGGAAGCAGACTGCCACATCTTCCTCCCATGGACTTCTGGTGGCTTTGAACCACCGAGCTTCAGTTAGCAGATGAGTGCTTTAACCCAGGCTCTTCCTATCACCTTATAATCTACCTATTTGACTCATTTAACTCCTTGGACCCAATAGGCATATAAATTCATAACACCTACACTAAATCAATGTTCACAGAAATGCATGGATATAGTTAGTTCTACACATTTCTTTCTTAGCATTGTCTAGTCTTCTTTATGCTGGTAATGTCCAAATTTACACTTCCAGGCTAATCCCTGAGTTCTTACTTGACTCATCTGTTGGGCATCTCAAACTAAGATGGCCAAAGCTAAGATTGAGATTCCTTCCTTTTCTAGTACTCCCTACCTAGTGTTTCTCATCACATTCAGTGGCACCACCACTCTTCTGGTTGTTTGGGCCAGAAAACTTGACTTTATTCTTGATTCCTTCCTTTCTCCTTACTCCACATTCAGTCTACCAAATGGTATCTCCAGGCCTGTCTTCTGTGGTGCCTCTGAGTGAGTTCAGACTGCCCTTTCAGCTACTAGTCAAGTGCTTGCTTAACTGTTTTCGCCACCCAGCTGCCTTCCTGTGGTTCATTCTCTGGCTGGTAGACTAAATTTTATAAAGTAAAATCTAATCATGTACTTTCCTGTTTAAAACTTAATTTCCATTGTGCCAGAATAAAATTTAGACTCTTGACATGACCTCATTTTTCTCTACCCTTCATTTTGTTGAGTGGGATCTAGTACAGGGCCTTTGTATTTCTTGTCACTCCTGCTTGGAGTGGTCTCTGTACCCCAGGTCTTTACTTTAACTGTATCTTCCTCCATATTAAGTTATCACCTAAAATTTCACCACCAGAAAGGTCCTCCCTGACCATCCTGGTTTAAGCAGCACCTCTTTCACCATTGACCTGTTCTGTTTTCTTAGCAGTGTGTGTGGGAGGGGACCATGCAGCCAAACTCTAGTTACTGTCAATTTGATTCCAAGTTAAGCCAACCTCATATGTCAGACTAGAATCGGGCTCCTTAGGGTTTTTAGTGGTTGGGTTTTCAGAAGTAGATTACCAGACTCTTTGTTCCAAAGTGCCCCTGGGTGGACTTGAACCTCCAACCTTTGGGTTAACATCTGAGTGCTTAACTGTTTGAGACATTTAAAGACTCCTTATAGCAGTTACAAACTGAAATTATCTTACTTGTTAATTAAAGTGTGCGGGTACCCGTCTTCCCTCCACTAGAAGGTAATCTGTGTGCTGACTAGTACTTTGACTTATTCACCATTGTGACCTCAGACCTGGAATAGCAGTTGGATTTAATAAGAACTTGGCAAATATTTGTTGATTGACTAAAGCCAATGCCAATTCTAACTGCTAAACACCTTTGTCATCTTGCTTAAGTCATTTAACCTTTGGAGTCTCAGTTCTGTCATCTAAATTGAGGGACACTGATTTTTTTTCCTGTTTAGCACACTGTATATATCAAGAAATTTGTTCTGTTATTATTAAGAATTTAGAAATTGTGATATACTTAGGATCATGCCTATTTCTTTTAAACACTGAGAACTTTACTGACTAGTAAAAAGCACTTTTATTAGTGCCCGGAATATAGAAATAAATAAGAGAATGTCCCTGCCTTCAAGGAGAAGACCATTGTCATCAGTTAATGTCATGTGATGTCAGTGCCCTTAAGGTCTTTGTGTCACAAGGTAGAAGAATATGGGGGGAGGGATGTGACAGAAAGTTCAATTAGTAGCTCTCAATATAGGACATTAAGAGAGGGGAGGAGCCGTGTTAGCCTTTCTGAATTTTGTTTCTAATTTTAATGACTCATCCCATACCTTTTAGAAATATATATTTTCTCCTTTTACTCCAGTTAACCCATCTGTAAAATGAAAATTTTTGTGGTAATACACTCTGAGCCTTGTTATTGAAATATCCTATAGTCTGTGCGAATAGTTTCCCAAAGAGGGAAACATTTGTTTTCTATAAATACCTACTGACTAGCTGGTAGATGAAGGGCTATAAGATGTCTACATTTTATAAACATTTTTTTTTTTTTTTGGTAATATACATGATATATACTTTAGCACTGTCAGCTTCTCAGTGGACAGGCTCTTCCTGAAGGAATGCCAGTTCCAGGGAGCCGTCCCTAGCCAGCTAAACCAGTTTTCACTGAACTGAGGCTCTTTGGTTAGCATTTGTTTGTTCCCTTCTCTCCTGGCTGAAGTGGCAGGTATTTCACCTTGAGTGAATCTGTTTATTGTTTCAACATTGTATCTTCCCTTAGGTTGTATTTAGCCATCATAAGATGAAATGCTTTTTTGCCCTGAGTTCCTACACACATAAGAGAGGAATCAGTTTTTAGATGAAACTGCTATATTTGGAACTGTTTTTTTAAAGTAGTTTTCCAAGTTACTCAGCTTTTCATTGTAAGCCTCTGCTTCTCCTGGCCAATTTGTTGCCATTAAGCTTTGGATATACTCTTAAAAGTTAACTACTTATTCTGATGAGTTCCCTTTTGTGGCGATAGTTGTCAAAGAATATAATCCCACTAGATAGCTGTGCCTTATGGAGTACAATCTCAGAGAAGAAAGCTATTTAAACTGTTCAAAATCCTTTTAAGAATCTTCATTTGCTTTCCACTGGTGTATTTGTGGTTAAGTCTGATTGAACTCTTCAATGACTGTCCCAATTTAAAGAGTTTATGCTTCATCACACTTGATAGCTGTGAGTTTAGCATATCAGTCTGTCATAAAATAGTAATTTGCTGAATTATTTTCACTTCTTTCTCTGTGAACTTAGTAATTAAGTGGTATATTTAATATTGTAGTTAGAATAGCAAAAAGTATTTTCCTGATGTCTCCAAATTGTTATATTTATATTAGCTTTGAAAGAAAAGAAGAAAACCATATATGTTACTATTTATTAAATGCCAGACAGTGCTAAGTACTTTATATAAATATAATCTCATTTAATCCACACACCAAACTTTTGAAATAGGTACTGTTCGTTAGGGGCCACTAGGTCAGTTCCAGCTCACAGTGACCCTGTGACAACAGAATGAAATTCTTTGGTCCTGTGCCATCCTCATAGTCATTGGTATGTTTGAGCCCATTGCTACAGCCAGTGTGTCTGTTAGTCAGTCTCTTTGAAGACTTCCTGACCCTCTACCCAGCATGATATCCTTCTCCAGGGATTACTCCCTCCTGATAACACGTCCACAGTACATGAGAAAAAGTCTTACTATACTTGATTCTAAGGAGCAGACAGATTTGTTCATTTTTCTGGCAGTCCACGGTATATTCAGTAGTCATTGCCAATACCATAATTCAAAGGCATCAGTTCTTTTTTGGTCTTCCTTATTCATTATCTAGCTTACACATGCATATGTTGTTTCTGTTGTTGTTAGATGCCTTCGAGTTGGCTCTGACTCATAGTAACTCTATGTATAATAGAAGAAAACACTACTTGGTCCTGCGCCAGCCTCACAGTCCTTGCTGTACTTGCCCATCGTTGCAGCCACTGTGTCAGTCTATCACATTGAGGGCTTTTCCCTTTTTTTGCTGACCCTCTGCTTTACGAAGCATGACATCATTCTCCAGGAAATGGTCCCTCCTGACAACATGACCAAAGTAGGTGAGATGAAGTCTGGTCATTCTCCCTTCCAAGGAGCATTCCAGCTGCACTTCTTCCAGAATAGGGTTGTTAGTTCTTCTGGCAGTCCATGGTACTTTCAGTATTCAGTATTTTTCGGTAACACCACAACTCAAAAGCATCAACTCTTCTTTGGTATTCCTTATGCATTGTCCAGCTTTCACATGCATATGAGGCTATTGAAAATTCCCTGGCTTGGGCCAGGTGTTTGATTTCTCCACTGCTGCTTCCATGAGCATTGTGTACAATCCAAGTAAAATGAAATTCCAGACAACTTCAGTCTTTTCTCTGTTTATCCTGATAGTGCTTATTGGTCCAGTTGTGATGACTTCTGTTTTCTTTATATTGAGGTATAATCCATACTGAAGGCTGTAGCCTATGATCTTATCAGTAAGTGCCTCAAGTCTTCTTTGCTTTCGGCAAGGAAAGTTGTGTCATCTGCATTTCACAGGTTGTTAATGAATCTTCCTCCAATCCTGATACCATGATCTTCTTCACATACTCCATATTCTCAGCATACAGATTGAATAAGGATGGTGAAAAATACCGTGTTCACCCAAATGTTGTCTGATTTTAAACCATGCAGTATCCCCTTGTTCTGTTTAAATAATAGCCTCTTGGTCTAAGTACAGGTTCCTCATGAGCACAATTAAGTGTTTTAGAATTCCCATTCTCTGCAGTGTTATCCATAATTTGTTGTTATCCACACTGCTGAATGCCTTTATTTAGTCAATAAAACACAGGTAAACATCTTTTTGGTATTCTCTGCTTTCAGCCAACATCCATCTGACATTAGCAGTGATACTACCATTCAGTGTTCTCTTCTGAATCCGGTTTGAATTTCTGTCAGTTCCCTATCATTGTATTGCTGCAACTGTTTTTGCCCAGGGTTACATCATTATAGCCAAGATTATGATCTCTGTTGTTTTCCCAAAGGCTGTGTTCTTAATTATATCATACTTCTTACATCACATACTTGTTAACCTGTTCATAAAAGCAAAATGGTTTCAACAGTAGGTTAATTTAGGTGAGTGATATATGTATAATTGTTTTTCAGTTTTTCTTTAGTTGGGGGAAAAGGCATTTTGGATTAGCTGTGGATGTATAAAAACTATTTAAAATCTATTACATAAAGCTCCAAATTACTAGTTAGAACCTTTTGATCCTACTATTTTCAACTTCAGACTTCAGTGAGCCTCAGTAGACATACATTGAGTAGAAAGGTTTGCTTTTCACTTGTCTGACTGGTTCCCTGAATCTGGATCTGTGCCAGCAGAGGGACTGTTCCTCTGCTTGTTTAACCTGGAGCAGTGACCTCAAATATACTCAGGGCAATTGTAGTTGAAAAGCCAAATTTTACAAAAGTGGTAATTGTCCTTTTATATTGCAGATTGAAAGAAGTCATCAAATATTTTGTTTTTATTTTTTAAAAGTTCATTCTCATAAAGTATTTTTTTTCCTTTTCTTATTTTGTCTCAGACTATAATCTTGAGTTTACTTATGAGGTCGATTGGAAATAAGAACACCATTTTATTGGGTCTGGGATTTCAAATATTACAGCTGGCATGGTATGGCTTTGGTTCAGAACCTTGGTAGGTATAAATATTTTAATTTTCATGTTTGTCTTTTTGTTTTTCAGCTAAGACTTTAATCTATCAGTTACTATGTTTTTTTTCTTTTCAGCATGTATATAATACAAATATTGTATTTATGTATTTATCTATTCTAGAAATAGCTTTTGGGCAGAAATATAACATTTTATAGCTAAGCAACAGCTGAATTTGTGAATGATATTATTGACCCATTGAAGCATTTAAACCAGTTGTATCACTAGGAAAAAGCATAGGATCCCATTGCAATTGGTCCTGAAAGTTTAGTGTTATCTTTTCTTTTACCCTGCTTCATTTTTTTCCTGTATTCATTACTGATGGCAAACCAGAAATTAGTGAGAAAGTCCAATTGTTTTAGTCTCAGCTTCATGCCCTGCCTCTCAACTTTTCTTACCAGTGTGGTTTCCTGTAGGGAGAGGATGGTAACAATGTATTCATGTGTTCTGGACCGAACTACAGTTTGCTAACCTTTCTTACAACTGAGCACCTCCCTTCTGTGTAGTCTTCACAATAGGAGTAAGAGGAAGCATTGAGAATGTGTTTTGGTGGACAGTTTGTAAAAGCTAGGCTAGAAACCAAAGAAGTGTTCACAATTTAAATTATATAGAACTTTACTTTTAAACATCACCCCGGGAACATCTAAAATATTTATTCTTTAATACTTATGGATTAGATCAAATCAGTGATATCTTTACACTGAATCAAAAACCAGTGAGAACCTTCTTGTTGGGCGCCCTTGATTCTGACTCACAGTGACCCTGTGTGAGAGTAGAACTGCCACATAGGGTTTTCTAGGCCATAATCTTTATGGGGACAGATTGCCAGGTCTTTATCAACCCAGAGCTGTTGGATGAGTTCAAACCACTACTGTTTTTGTTTGTAGCTGAGTGCTTAACCATTGCATCACCAGGGCTCCTTAGTGAGAATGTTCCCAAAAGACTTCCTGGCTTCACATGCCTGAAAACATTTGATGACATTTCTTTATCTGTATTACAGACATCCTCAGTATCCCCTCTGCAGCAGAAGTAATAACAACAAATTTTACAGTTTGAAAAATGATACTCTAATTTTCCATTGACACCCCCCACACACACACTATTCGAGTGCATAAGTATTTGTTTTCTAGATGCTTGAAGTAGGGTTAGACTTTTACATAACTTGCCCATAGTTACATAGTAAGGAAGGAATAAAGTACAGATCTCTTTTTCTTGTACTATTCTCACGGTACCATTTCACAGTAAAGCTACACAGTTTTAAGTATATATTTTGACTCTTACAGGTACAGGGGAGAAGACTAATGATTTACTGTTTTTGTTTTGGTTCGATTGATGATTGATTATAGGATGATGTGGGCTGCTGGGGCAGTAGCAGCTATGTCCAGCATTACCTTTCCAGCTGTCAGTGCACTTGTTTCACGAACTGCAGATGCTGATCAACAAGGTAAGTTAATATTAGGAACCAAGATAATTGTTTAAAAGTACAGGATATTTGAATTCTTATATCCTGTCTCTGTCTTTTTACTGAATTTATTTTTGTAATATTTTATTGTGTTTTAGGTAAAAATTTACGCAGCAAATTAGGTCCCCATTTAACAATTTTTATACAAATTGTTCCATGACGTTCGTTACAATTTTCACATTATGTCAACATTCTCATGATTTCCATTGTTTGTTTTGTTTCTGTTGATCTAGCTTCCTTTCTCCTTTTTGGCTTCTCATTTGCTTTAGGGTAAATGTTGACTGTTTGGTCTCATATACTTGATTGTTTAAGGGCACATGTTACTCACACATGATATCGTTTGTTTGTTTATTTACTAAATTTTACTGTGATTTGGGTGAAAGTTTAGAGAGCAAATCCATTTTCCATATGGCAGTTCATACACATTTTGTTTCATGGCATTGACAGCAATTCTCCATTTCCTCCCTGTAGTTACCTCTTCCCTGTGTCCTTCTTTCCTATGCATTCCTGCCCCCTCAGCTGTCTCCCTGTGCAAATATTGCCCTTCTGTTCTCCCATGATAGATTGTTTGATTGATTGAATGTATCGACCTGATGTAAATGTTCACCCTATATGCCTGTCTGTTGTTTGGCTGGAAGCCACGGGAGTGAGTTCAGTTCCAGACCTAAAGGGTAACTAGAGGCCATAGTCTTGGAGTCTCACTAGGCTCTATCAGAGCAGTAAGTCTGATCTCTTTTAATGATTTTAAGTTTTGTTCCACATTGTTCTCCCACTCTGTCCAGGATCTCTTGCGCTGATCCCTTCCAAGTGGTTGACTGTGGTAGCTGGCCACCATCTAGTTACTGTTTATTTTTTTAAGCCAATCTATTATTGGCTGAAAGGTGTCTTCTAGAAATGGCTTCAGTTCAAAGGGTATTTTAGGATAATATTCTTAGTGGTTCCTTTAGTCTTGAGTCTGGTAGGCCTGGCCTTTTTTTTTTTTTTTTAAGCAATTTTTAATTTTGTTCTATACTTTTTTCCCATTCTATCCAGGACCTTCTATTGTGTCCCTGGCCAGAACAGTGGGTAGTGGTGGCAGGGCACCATCTAGTTCTGGTCTCATGTTAAAAGAGGCAATGGTTCATGGAGGCTATTAGTCCTGTGGATTAGTTTCTTCTGAGTCTTTGGTTTCCTTCATTCTCTTTTCCTCTAGACAAGTGGAGACCAATAGTTAACCTTAGATGGCCAGTTGCAAGCTTTTAAGACCATAGATGCTACTTACCCAACTGGGATGTAGAACATTATCTTTATTAATTAATTGGCTAGTTGAAAACCTTATGAATTATGTTATGCTAGTAGATTCAGTTGTCCCACAAGACTGTGGTCCTAAGCCTTTTAACCCAGTAAACCAATCCTGCAAGTGGTTTGGTTATGTCTGGGAAGTCTCAGTAACTGTGCCCCCAATGTGTTTTAATATATATATGGATATATATGCAGCATACACAAACATGTATACACATATGCCTATGGATACACTCTACCACTTGTCTGTCAGTTTATCATACTATGGTAGCTTGCAAATGTTGCTGTGAGGCTGGAAGGCATACCACTGGTATTGCATAGAACAGGGTCACTCATGGTGGACAGTGGAGCTTCCAGACTAAGACTGGGAAGAAGGAAGGGCCCATCTACTTCTGAAAAAGTTGGCCACTGAAAACCTTACGAAAAGCAGTGAAACACGGTCTGATACGTTACTGAAAACAAATAGCCCTGAAACGTTGTCTGATACAGTGCCAGAAGATGAGCCCCTTGGGTTGGAAGGCACTCAGAATATAGTTGAGGAGGTGCTGCCTCCTCAACATAGAGTAGACCTTAATGACATGAATGGAGTAAAGCTTTCTGTACCTTCATTTACTGACAGGGCATGACTCAAAATGCAAAGAAGCAGCTGTAAACATCCATTAATAGAATGTGGAATGTGGTTTTGGCCATTCTGAATCAGACAACCATATGATCTCCTATGCCAGGAATGACAAACTGAAGAGGAATAACATCACATTCATCATCATAAAGAATGTGTCCAGATCTATCCTGAAGTACAGTGCTGTCTGTAATAATACAATACCCATACACCTAAAGGAAGACCATACTACTATTCTTCAGATTTACATGCCAAGCACTAAAGTTATAGATGAAGAAATGGAAGATTTTTACCAGCTTCTACAGTCTGAAACTGAATAAACATGCAATCAAGATGTATTGGTGATTGGAATGCGAAAATTGGAAACAAAGAATCAGTGGTAGTTGGAAAATACACCCTTAGTGATAGAAATGATGCCAGAGACTGCATGATAAAATTTTGTAAACCTAACAACTTACTTACTGCAATTACCTTTCTTCAACAACATAAACAGTGGCTATACACATACCTTGCCAGATGGAATACAGAGGAATCAAATTCACTACATCTGTGGAAAGGGGCAGTAGAGAAGCTCAATATCATGAGTCAAAACAAGGCTGGGAGCTGACTGTGGAACAGACCATCAGTTGCTCAAATGTAAGTTCAAGTTGAATCTGAAGAAAATTACAACAAGTCCACAAGAGCTAAAATATGACCTTGACTGTATCCCATCTGAATTTACAGACCATCTGAAGAATAGAGTTGATATATTGAACACCAGTGACCAAAAACCAGATGAGTTGTGAGATGACATCAAAATCATCATATGTGAAGAAAGCAAAAGGTCATTAAAAAGACAGGAAAGGAAGAAAAGACCAAAACGAATGTCAGAAGAAACTCTGAAACTTGCTCTTGAATAAGTAGCAAAACCAAATGGAAGAGATGATGAGATAAAAGATTTCAAAGGGCAGCTTGAAAAGACAAAGTCAGTTATTACAATGAAATGTGTAGAGACCAAACGGGAAAAACACACTCTGCATTTCTCAAATTGAAAGAACTGAAGAAAAAATTAAAGCCTTGAATTGCAGTATCAAAGGATTCTATGGGCAAAATATTGAATGATGTGGGAAGCATCAAAAGAAGATGGAATATACACAGTCACTGTACCAAAAAGAATTGATCAGTGTCCAACTTTTCAGGAGACAGCATATGATCAGAAATCAATGGTACTGAAAGAAGCAATCAAAGTTGCACTGGAGGAATTGGCGAAAAGTAAGGCTCCAGGAATTGACAGAATACCCATTGAGATGTTTCAACAAATAGATGCAGCACTTAACTAATTTATACCAAAAAACTTGGAAGACAGCTACCTGGCCAACTGACTAGAAGAGATCTGTATTTGTGCCCATTCCAAAGAAAGGGGATCGAACAGAATGTGCAAATTATCACACAACCTCATTAATATCACACGCAAGTAAAATTTTGCAGAAGATCCTTCAAAAATGGTTGCAGCAGTATATTGACGGGGAACTGCCAGAAATTTAAACTAGATTCAGAAGAGGACGTGGAACCAGGGATATCATTGCTGATGTCAGATTGATCTTGGCAGAAAGCAAAGAATACTAGAAATACGTTTACCTGTGTTTTTTTTGACTGTGCAAAGGCATTTGCCTGTGTGTATCATAACAAATTATGGATAACATTGCAAAGAATGGGGATTCCAAAAGAGTTTAATTGTGTTCATGAGGAACCTATACATAGACCAAAAGGCTGTCATTCTAACAGAACAGGGGGACACCATGTGGTTTAAAATCAAGGAAGTGCATTAGGGTTGTATCTGTACGCTGAATAAATAATCAGAGAAGCTGGATTATATGAAGAGGAACGTGGCATCAGAATTAGAGGAAGACTCATTGACAATCTGATGTGCAGATGATAGATACCACCTTGCTTGCTAAAAATAAAGATGATTTGAAGCACTTACTGAGGACGATCAAATACTACCGTTTTCAATATGGATTACACTTCAACATAAAACAGAAATCCTCACAACTGGATTAATAAGCAATGTCATGATAAGTGGAGAGATTGAAGTTGTCAGGGATTTCATTTTACTTGGATCCACAGTCAATACCCATGGAAACAGCAGTCAAGAAATTTGATGTCATATTGCACTTGGCAGATCTGCTGCAAAGACCTCTTTAAAGTGTTAAGAAGCAAAGATGTCACTCTGAAGACTAAGGTGCACCTAACTCAAGCCATGGTATTTTCTGTCATGTCATATGCTTGTGAAAGCTGGGCAATGAATAAATACCCAAGAAGAGTTGATATCTTTGAATTACGTTGTTTTGGCTAAGAATACTGAAAATACCATGGACTATCAGAACAAAGAAATCTGTCCTGGAAAAATTACAGCAAAAATGGCCTTTAGAAGTGAGAATGGCCAGACTTTGCCTCACCTACTTTGGTCATGTGGTCAGAAGGGACCATTCCCTGTAAAAGGATATCATACTTGGTGAAGTAGAGCATCAGCAAAAAAGAAGACCCTCAACAAGATGGATTGACACAGTGGCTGCAACGATGGTCTCAAGTACAGTAAGGATTGTGAGGGGCTGCACAGGACAGGGCAGTGTTTCATTCTTTTGTACATACGGTCGCTATGAGTCAACTCCATGGCACCTAATAACAACACAACAACGGATACACTTACACATGTGCATTTACTTGGCATATGCCTTCCTATACATATGTACCTGTGTAATCACACACATATTTTTTGGTTATTACTGTTGTATATATTAAAGTATTTACTGAAATTGTCCATTCTTGTATACTTGTTAATGTGTTCATTTACCTCAGTCAAGTTGTAGAAACTTCATCTGTATTTAGTATTGCCTTTCCTATCACCAAAAATAACAAGTCACTACTTTATAGAAAGTGATTCCTATCCCCGCCTGCCCCTTGCCCCCTGATCCAGGTCCCCTTTTGTCCCTAATAACCATCAAAGAACATTGTTTCTGAATGTGTATCTACTCTTGACTTTTTAGGGTCAAAAATAGTGGGACCATACAATATTTGCCCTTTTGTGATTGACTTATTTCACTCAGTATAATGTCTTCCAGATTCATTCATGTTACGTTTCAAGACGCATTATTCTTTATAGTTTTGTAGTAGTCCGCTGTATGTATGTACCAAAATTTGTCCATTCATCCATTTATGGGCATTTGTTTTCTTCTTTTTGCTGTTGTCAATAATGCTTCAGTGAACATGGGTGTGCATATGTCTAATTATGTCACTGTTCTTACATCTCTTATATGTATACTTAGAAGTGGGATTGCTGATCATAAGATATGTCTATTTCTAGCTTTTTGAGGAAAGTGATAACACTGTTTTTCATAGTGGTTATAACCATTTTACAGTCCCACCAGCAGCTTATTATAGTTCCAGTCCTCCCACACCCTTGCCAGCATTTGTGGTTTTCTTTTTTTTTGGTTAGTGCCATTTTGCATGGGTGAGATGTTACCTTCTTGTGGTTTTGATTTGCATCTAATGGCTAATGATCGCAAGCATCTCATTATGTATTTGTTGGCTGCCTGAGTGTCCTCTTCAGTGAAGTGATTGTTCGTGTCCTTTGGCTGTTTTTTGATTGGATAGTTTGTCTTTTTGTTGTTGAGTTGTTGATGTTTTTATATATTTCAGAGATTAGACACTTGTAAGATATGTTGTTACCAAAGATTTTTCCCAGTCTGCAGTTTCTCTTTTTACTCTTTGGTAGTCTTTTCGTGAATATAAGTATTTTTTAGGAGGACCTGGTCATCTTCTATTGTTGTGCATTTTCAGTCATGTTAGATAGGATATTCATGCTGAAAATTAGGTCCTTTAGTTTTGTCCCTGTGTTGTCTTCCAGGAATTTTATAGGGTAAGCTTTAACATTTAGTTGTATGATCCACTTAAGAGTTAGTTTTTATTCATGTTGTCAGGTATGGATCCTCTTTCATTTTTCTGCAAATGGATATCCAGTTTTGCTAGCATCATTTGTTAAATTATTGCTTCCTCACTAATGGACTTGATGCTTTGTCAAAGATCACCTGTCTGTAGAGGATGGATTCACTTTGGGTTTTCAGTTCTGTTCCATTGGTTTATGGGTCTGTCATTGAACCAGTACCAGACTTTCAATTACTGTAGCTGTATATTAAGCTTTGAGATCAGAAGTGTGAGGCCTACTACTTTGTTGTTCTTCAGTGTTGCTTTAGCTATTCAGAACCTTTTTCCATATAAAGTTGGAGATTAGTTTCTTCTCCATTTCATTAAAGAATGTTGTTGAGGTTTGGATTGAGATTGCATTATATCTATGTATCACTTTAGGTAGTATTGACATTTTCACTATGCTAAGTTTTCCAATCCATTAGCATGGAATGTTTTTCCATGAATGTAGATCTCTTTTAGTTTCTTGCAATAAAGTTTTATAGTTTTCCTTGTATACATCTTTTATATCCCTGTTTAGGTGTATTCCTAAGTATTCTGTCCTTTTGAGGGCTGTTGTAAATGGTATTGATTTCCTTTTCAGAGTCCTTCTTGTTAACATAGAGAACTGAACTTATTTTTGTGTGTTGATCTTGTACCCTGCCACTTGAACTTTCTTGTGGAATCTGAGATTTTCTATGTATAGGATCATGTCATCTGTGAATTGAGATAATTTTACTTCTACCTTTGTGATTTCAAAACAAAATAAAACCAAATTCACTGCTATCGAGTTGATTCTGACTCTTAGTGTGACCCCCTTTGGGTTTCTGAGGCGGTAAATCTTTACGGAAGTAGATTGTCCAGTCTTCCTTCCATGGAGTTGGCTGGTGGGTTTGCACCGCCAACCTTCTGGTTAGCAGTCAAATGCCTTAGGCACTAGGCAACCAGAGCTCTTCCTTTTTGATTTGGATACACTTTATTTCCCATTTTTGCCATAGTGCTCTGGTTAGGACTTCCAGTACAATATTGAGTAAGAGTGATGATAATAGGCATCCTTGTCGTCTTATTCCTGTTTTCAAGGGGAATGCTTGCAAACTTTCTCTATTGAGAATAATGTTGGCTATTGATTTTGGAGATAGGCCCTTAATTATATTGACAGGTTTCCTTTCTATTCTTACTTTGTTGAGAGTTTATCAGGAAAAGGTGTTGGATTTTGTAAAATGACTTTTCATCAATTGAGATGATCATGTGATTCTTGTCCTTTATTTTTGTGGTAGTTATGTTGATTGATTTTTCTAATGCTGAACCATCCTTGCTTCCCTGGTATGAATCCCAGTTGATCACGATGTATTATTATTATTATTATTTTAATATGCTGTTGAATTCTCTTGGCTAGAATTTTGTTGAAAATTTTTGCATCTATATTCATGAGGTCATTTTTTTTTTTCTTGGTATTGTCTTTGACTTGCTTTGTTATCAGGGTTATGCTGGCTTCACAGAATGAATTAGGGAGTGTTCCTTTCTTTTCTAGATCTGGAACAGTTGAGTAGAATTAGTGTCAACTCTTCTCTGTCTTTTAAGTACTGAAGCATAAGCCTGTGTTTAAAAACACAAAACCAAAGTCACTGCCACTGAGTCAATTTCGACTCATAACTCCCATTGGGTTTCCAAGGCTGTAAATCTTTATGGAAGCAGACCACCCCATCTGGTGGTTTTGAACCACTGACTCTTTGATTGGCAGCCAAATGCCTTAACCACTACATCACTAGAGCTCCTTAAGGATATGTTCATGGTAAATAATTTTTTAATTGCTTTCACTGTAAGGAGGAAAAGCAGATTGAAGTTTGATGTCATGAGGTAGGTAGGTAATCCCTTGTCTCTCACTTTAAATACGTGCCCCATTCTGTGTGCTAGAAGAATTTAGTCATAAAGATTGGCCACATTATATTCACTAAATATATACTAAGTATTTTACTGTTCTAGACACCTTGGGATATAGTCATGGCCCTTGTATTAAAACCTTATGGTTTTGGTTATAGAAAGATATATAACAAACTTTGTCTTACACCTTTATGAGGGCAACATTTAATTTTTGGAATGCTAATAGAGGAATAATTCTTTGGAAGAGGTATGTTTTTATGTGTAAGGGGTTACAGAAGAGTGGCATTGGCCACTGGCTGCTAAATGAAGGAAAGGCCTCTGGCCAAAGCAGGTTGCATTTCAAATTTGATGGAAGATCCTAGAGATAAAAAATCAAATTCTACAAAAAGTCTATATTTTACTTTAAAAGATCTTAACTAGCTGTTTGGAGAGTTGTGCTGTGAGTTGATGACTGACTTTTAGCCAGGGGATGTTTTAATGGTTATGATCTAGGGAATTAGTCTCTTTGGCCTCTTGTTACTGTTAGACCCTATCTGAATGCATCTGAGTTCACATTTCCATTGGATACCTTACCACACTTTGTAGAACCACAATCACTTACAAGTAACTTTTAATGACTAGACTAGACTAGACTAGACTGCTAATGTCTGATAAAAACCTTGGATTTAGATTAAGGGAAAAAATTAAATGGCACTAAAAGATTATTTGTTTAAAAACAATTTAGGTGTCGTCCAAGGAATGATAACAGGAATTCGAGGATTGTGCAATGGTCTGGGACCAGCACTCTATGGATTCATATTCTACATATTCCATGTGGAACTTAAAGAACTGCCAATAACAGGTACAGACTTGGGAACAAATACAAGTCCTCAACACCACTTTGAACAGGTAATTTTTTATTCACATGATAGACATTTTATATAGTTCATTTGACTGGATTAAAAGATACCATAAATGGTTTTTGTCACTAAAGCTTGTATGTGAGATTCTTAGTATTTAAATTTAATTATAGCACTTAAAAAACAAAGTCTAGAGGT